TAAATGTCCTTCTCCTTCAAGGAACCTGAAAAGAGGCCATCCCAGGAGGAGGGATGTGGAACCTGAGACACAGCGCCATCTGTGCTCCTTCCCCTGCCTCCTTCAGCACTTGGAGGTAGAATAAACCGGTTTAGATGAATAGACCCAGTAGCGGCAAAACAGGGGCCACCGCCAAAGGGGAACCCGTGGGCTCGAGGTTACAGATGGAAGAAAGCCACCTGTTTAGGTGCTATCGCTAAACAGGGCTCTCAGACATATTTGTGGCAGGCCGTGCGCTCTCCGTGGGTGTGTGTTTTTATGTTTGCATGTTTGTGGTGCAATGTGAGGGTACGTGTGGGGGTAGTCGCCCGCAGATCTAAAGCAAATTCTGCAGTTTGTTAATCACACAGTGATCAGATCTCAATCAGATGTGGGGGGCTCAACCCTTTTTGGGTGCTGACTTAGAAAGGAGGTGTGCTTCACCAAAAGAGTGTATGTATTAGTTTTACTATTGCTTTTACAAATTACTACGTGCTTAGTGACTTAAAACACAGATTTGTTGTCTTAGAGCTCCGTGAGAACCCCAGGGTCAGAAGTCCGATTTAGGATTCAGTGGGCTAAAATCAAGGTGTTCGCAGCCTGCATTCCTTCCGGGAGAATCCGGTAACGGCTTCTTGCAGCTTCCAGAGGCAGCCCACGTTCCTTGGCTGGGGGTCTCCTCCAGATTCAAAGCCGGCAACATAGCAACCCTTTGACCCTGTTTCCATTGTCTCATCTCTTTCTCTGACCTCTTCCAGCTCCCTCTTCCATGTTTAAGGATTCTTACGCTTACATGGGGCTCACCCAGGTTATGCAGGATAATCTCCCTATTTCAAGGGGAGCTGAGTAGTAACCTTGATACCCCTGTGCCACATAAGGTTCTGTACTCACAGATTCTGGGGGTTAGGTGGGGACATCCTTGTAGTAGTGGTGGGGGAGGTATCCCTCTGCTTACCACAGCGTGCTTCAATGTATATAACCTACCACAAATACAGTTCATTGGTGGTACAATTCATTTCCCACATAGGTGGACTTGTTTACCTTTGGCTTCTGGGCGCTTTGTGGAGACTGAGCAATGAAGAAGTCTCCATGCTAACCACTTCAGTTTGGGGAGTTAGTGGAGAGATCTCTATTCTTATACCCCTGGAACTGAAAAGATTTTCCCCCAAATTTAAGCCTTAGAGCTATCCGGCTCACCTCCCATTGGTTGTTACTATGTCATACCTTCATGGTGTACTGCCTTCTTTGGTATGTCTAAGAAAGTATCTAAATTATGAGTCTCTGTTGCCCCTTACAGATTTATATATAGAACTTTTCCATTTTACATGGTTCCTCTTCTCGCAGGGAGTCATTGGTTTATGGCAATTTTAATGTATCTTCTTTAGGACAAGTATTTATTTAGCGCTTACCATGTGTGAGGTTTTGGGGGGAATAATAGCAAGGGCAGAGTGTCCATGCCCTCAGCTTATACCTAGGGGAACGCGGGGACAGTCACACGGGTAACATGCACTGGAGAGAGCGAGAAGACAGAGAGAAGGCAGGAGGGGGAGCCTCCCAGGAGGAAGGGACCTCAGTGAAGGATGCCATGGGGAAAAGCGCTCCTACGAGAAGAAATCGCTCTGGGAGGGCTGGGATTTTGTCTCCTCTGGTTACTGCTTTATCCCTGAAGCTAAAACAATTCCAGGGATATAGGGGCATTTAGTGGAATCTGTGGTGTGAATGACTACGTGTAAAGTGGGAGACAGGAGCGAGTGTAGCTACATTTGAGGATGTGAAAGAAGATGGGTAGAGAGAGGCTTGGAGCACAAAGGGCCGTGGCAAGAGGCAAAATTGCCAGGATGGGGCTGGCAAACATGTTAATTCCTCGGGCTTTATTTGGGGGCCAGAGAGTTTTAGCATTATTGAGAGATTTTTAAGCAGCAGAATGACTTAAGCAGACTCACATTTTAGAAGTCATTCTGGCTGCAGAATAGAGATGGGTTCAGGAGGCTGTTAGAATACTCCGGAGGAGGGACGAGAGGCCCTAGGCAGGGTGCAGCGGTGGGGATGGAGCTAGACTGAGGATAATTAGAATCATCCACTCACAAGCTGGAAGGAATTCCGGACAACTCATCTAACCTTTTATATGAAGAGTCTGAGGTCACAGAGGGTTAATTGACTTACTCCTCTAGTGTTTTTCTTTCTCTTCTTCCTCTGCTCTTCCTTTATTTCTTAAGACATTGTCAGAATTGCTCAATTAAGACCTTCATCTCTTCACACCTGAACAATTTACTTAATTTAATTATTTTGTATAATATAAAAGTGAGCCTACCAAAGTCCTTCTAGAAAGAAAACCAAAGCAGTCAACAGCAGGGGCCTTAGGCAATGTCTGAGAAAAAGGATTTCAGGTAGTCCTGATAGCCACAGGCTTCACAGTTACACAGTTCTGACGCTTCTGGTCCTCACTGTTAATCAAAATGACCCTGTTGAATAGGTACGCAGAGAAGAATGGTATGCCAAGAGTATAAAACCATGCAAAACATGACTTATTGAAAAATGGAGAAAACAAAAATCACCCCTCACTAGTATTAAGTGAACTGTGGTTGGGGGACAGGATATATATACATGTATACATATATACACACATATACATGTATACTATTGGCTCCATTCCTCTGGAGAACTCTGAAACACAGGGATTCAAACAGATACTTGTACACCAATATTCACAGCAGCTTTGTTTACAATAGCCAAAACGCAGAAACAACCCATGCCCATCAACCGAAGAATAGATAAAACAAATTTAGTATATACACACAACGGAATGTTACTTGGCCATAAAAAGGAATGAAGATCTGATAAATGCTACAACATGGATGGATCTTGAAAACATTATGCTAAGTGAAAGAAGTCAGACTCAAAAGGCCACACATTGTATGATTCCACTTATATGAAATATCTAGAATGGGCAAATTCATAGAGACAGAAATGAGATTAGAGTTTAGCAGGGGCTTGCAGGGAAGGAGGGATAGGGAGTTATTGCTTAATGAGCACAGAGTTTCTGTTTGGGGTGATGAATAAGTTTTAAAACTAGATAGTGGTGATGATTGCACAACAGGGTGCCACTGAACTGTACACTTGAAATGGTTGAAATGGCAAATTTTGTTACAGATATTTCCACAATTAAAAGATGTAAAGGTTTGTTAAGTGGTTATTAATAAATATACCATCTTGTTTTTCTGGTTAGAGAGGGAGAAAGGATACTTAACCAAAAGCAATGTGCAATCCTTGATTGGCTCTCACTTTCTAAATAAGAAGCAATGGAAGATATTCTTTGGACAAGTGAGGAAAATTAAATAGGGTCAGAACATTAGATACTATGAAATTGTTAATTTACTTAGGAGCAATAATAGTGCTATGATTATATAGGAGAATGTCTTATCCATAAAAGACACATACTTTAATGTTTAAGGGCAAGTGTTACAATGTCTATAACTTATTTGCTAATAGGCAAAAAAAGGGGTGCTTTTGTGTGGGTGTGCACTCATGCTCATGGGTGTGCCTGAGATAGAAAACAAATATAGAAAAACACTAACAATTGTGAAATCTAGGATACAGGCATCCATTGTACAAGTCTGCAGAATTTAAAAAATATTTTCATAATAAAAGTAGTAACAAAATAAAAATTTAAGTCATACCACTCAACCTCTCAGAAATACTCCCGTTAACATGTTGGTTTAAATCCTGTTAGCCTTTCTATGTGAGATTCCTTACACAACAAACGAAAAAAACAACACAGGATCAAATGTACACTGGCATCTGTTCATGTATTTAGTCAAGTCAATGAACAAATGTTTCAGTATATCCTCCATAGGCCATGAACATAAATGAATATTTCAAGATCTTTTTGAGTTTTCA